CAAAAAAATTGTAGCCATGGAGTATAGTTCTCTGACTTTTCAGAGATATTTTTAAACACAGCAAATTGTTAATATGAATTTATCATTGTATTTTTATTGTTAAGGATAGGAAGGTTTTGAGAGCTTTCCTAATCCATATATCAAACCAGATGCACTGGGCATGGATAACACCACCTTAACTTTTGAAAAGGTGGCCATTTTCTGCTCTACCGCAGGCAGCGAAATTATCTTGGACCAACCCTGGACAATTCACCTAGAGAAAAGGTTCTGAGAACACAGGCAAGATGAGGAAGGCTCAAAGCAATAGTATGAAAGAAAGCAGTTTGGCAATGCAGATTTATGGTACTGCCAACTTGTGGTATTTTATAGAGAAACCCCAGATCTGTCTTCCATTTGTAGCCCTACCATATTTTCCCCCCAGCCTCAGAAAATCCATTAAGGAGAGAAAGAGAAAATAGCTTCACAATCTCTTTTGAATGGTAGTGCTAGAGGTTCTCTGTCTGCACGCTAAGACCTGAACTGGTTGAAAGAAAGGCGCCTTGGGATGCAACTATGGCTGACTGAGTGAAAATGGCTATTAATTTATTTCTTAATGAGGGGAACTATGGTGTGGCAAATTAAACTTTCAGACTAGGACTCTAGAGTATAACGCACTGTCAAGTAATTTCAAACTGTGATGATATCCCAACAGGGATTCTGAGATATGTGAGATGTTCCAGGGATAGTTTACTACTTACTGCCATCCCCCAGTGAACATCTATAGCTAAGGGAGTATTTGAACCCAGGTCTCCAGAGCCCAACATTCTGTCTGCTACACTACACTGGCTCCCCTTGTTAAAGTTGTAGTAAAGGCGAATAAAGAGATTATGGAACATCTGAATGAATTATTTCTGCCTGTCCTTACTTCAAATATACATACCTGAATTCATATTCCCATGAAATCACAGCTGAGTCTTTAAGAATCTGTTGTATGTTTCCTATTAAAGCCAATAACCTGTTTCCCCGAAAATAAGACCTAACCTGAAAATAAGCCCTAGTACGATTTTTCAGGATGCTTGTAATATAAGCTTTACCCCAAAAATAAGCCCCAGATAAGCAAAACCCCATCTTCCAACATTGTGCAGCAACCAGAAGAAGATGACATGACTGTATTTGAGTAAATATAGATTGCTGAACATGAAAAAATAAAACAAAACATCCTCTGAAAATAAGCCCTAATGCGTTTTTTTGGAGCAAAAATTAATATAAGACCCTGTCTTATTTTCAGGGAAACACAGTAGTACAAAAGCATCACAAGAGAATCCAGTACATTTTCATCTACGTGAAACTCAAGACTACAATACTATGCTAAGAATAAGTCCTGTTGAAATCAATGGGACTTCCTGCTGAGTAGCCTTGCCTGTAGGATTCCACTGTCAGGCTACAACCCTAGGTACATTTACAAAGCACGGAACACAGTAGCTGTTACTTCTTTCAAATAAACCTGTTTAAGATCAGCAGTTTCATCCTTGGAATGCCTCATTTTCAGAGAAGTGGGAGGCATGTACCAATATTAATTTCCATCATGGAGAATTTATTTATTTATTTATTTATTTATTTATTTATTTATTTATTTATTTATTTATTTATTTAGTCTTTTGGTGATTTTTCTGTTCATGGAATTTTTTATTTTTATTTTTAGTAGTTTTTTTTGATGATTTTCCTTTTCTGAGCAAGCCTTTGGGCCACTTAGGGAGAAACATGATTTATAATGGATTTCATAGCCAGCCTGAAGCTCTTTCCTTCCCATTGTATCTTAAGATAGGTTTAGTGGCAGCTGCTCTCCATTAGGGCTGTTGAAAAGGCTAATTTAGAATTTGATCAGAAAGGCATTTGTTCCACAATTTGGTCCAGGTTGGGGACAGATTGGTTCACTCCTTGTCCTAGTGACATGTTATATGTTCCATCATGAACCAGCCTGTCCAAATCAATGCCTACTGACATCTTTTTGGATTCTGGTCAAGGGCTGCACATTTGTGGGTTTTTGCTTGTTAATTTTTGTCTTTTAGTGCAGTTCAATTTGTTGTGTTTTAGTTCACTTCCAGTGTGTGTGATAGCTGGTATTTGAACTAAAGAGGATGGCTTAAGCTGTCTTTTTGTTTAAAAAGCTTAACAGTATTGAAAAATGGAAAGCTTCGTTCCCACTTGCCCGTGGAGACGAAAGGAAAGGAAGTTTTCAATTTCTTTGTAATTGTTGCTATTGCATGTGCACTGATGTGCTGTTAGCATCAATTAAAAAGAAATAGAAAACTACCTTTCCCTTCCTCTTCCCAGGTGAGTGGGAAGGAAGTTTTCCATTTCTCAAGGCTATGAAGCTTTTAAGCAAAGCACAGAGGAGGAGACAGGAGAGTTTTTTTGGTGTTGCTATGTTTTCTTTTCCTTTAAAGGCTAAAGTTTGGTGTAGAATGTGCTAAAAGGGTCATTTGAGGTTCAGTGTGGTCAGTTATGGGGTGTGGATGCACAGACACCACACCTAAAAGTAAACCTGTGCAGCACCAGATTTTGTTGTTGTTTAGTCATTAAGTCATGTCCGACTCTTCGTGGCCCCATGGACGAGAGCATGCCAGGCCCTCCTGTCTTACACTGCCTCCCGGAGCTTGGTCAAATTCATGTTGGTAGTTTCGATGACACCATCCAACAATCTCGTCCTCTGTCATCCCCTTCTCCTCTTGCCTTCACACTTTCCCAATATCAAGGTCATTTCCAGGGAGTCTTCTCTTCTCATAAGCTGGCCAAAGTACTGGAGTCTCAGCTTCAGAATCTGTCCTTCCAGTGAGCACTCAGGGTTGATTTCCTTCAGAACAGATAGGTTTGTTCTCCTTGCAGTCCAGGAGACTCTCAAGAGTTTCCTCCAGCATCACAATTCAATAGCATCAATTCTTCGGCGATCAGCCTTCTTTATGGTCCAGCTCTCACTTCCGTACATCGCTACTGGAAAAACCATAGCTTTGACTAAGCAGACTTTTGTTGGCAAGGTGATGTCTCTGCTTTTTAAGATGCTGTCAAGGTTTGTCATCGCTTTCCTCCCAAGAAGCAGGTGTCTTTTAATTTCGGGGCTGCTGTCCCCATCTGCAGTGATCATGGAGCCCAAGAAAGTAAAATCTGTCACTGCCTCCATATCTTCCCCTTCTATTTGCCAGGACGTGATGGGGCCAGTGGCCATGATCCTAGTTTTTTTGATGTTGAGTTTCAGACCGTTTTTTGCACTCTCCTCTTTCACCCTCATTACAAGGTTCTTTAACTCCTCCTCACTTTCTATCATCTGCATATCGGAGGCTGTTGATATTTCTTCTGGCAATCTTGATTCCAGCTTGGGATTCATCAAGTCCAGCCTTTTGCATGATGTATTCTCCATATAAGTTAAATAAGCAGGGAGACAATATACAGCCTTGTTGTACTCCTTTCCCAATTTTGAACCAATCAGTTGTTCCATATCCAGTTCCAACTGTTGCTTCCTGTCCCACATATAGATTTCGCAGGAGACAGATAAGGTGGTCAGGCACTCCCAATTTCTTTAAGAACTTGCCACAGTTTGCTGTGGTCATCACAGTCAAAGGCTTTTGAGTAGTCAATGAAACAGAAGTGGATGTTTTCCTGGAACTCTCTCGCTTTCTCCATAATCCAGCGCAAGTTAGCAATTTGGTCTCTAATTCCTCTGGCCCTTCGAAACCCAGCTTGTACTTCTGGGAGTTCTTTGTCCACATACTGCTGAAGCCTACCTTGTAGGATTTTGAGCATAACCTTGCTCGCGTGTGAAATGAGTGCAATTGTACGGTAGTTGGAGCATTCTTTGGCACTGCCTTTCTCTGGGATTGGGATGTAGACTGATCTTTTCCAGTCCTCTGGCCACTGCTGAGTTTTCCAAACTTGCTGGCATATAGAGTGTACTACCTTAACAGTGTTGTCTTTTAAAATTTTAAATAGTTCAGCTGGAATGCTGTCACCTCCACTGGCCTTGTTGTTAGCCATGCTTTAGCAACCACACTATTTGGGTTGTCCAGTGTGACTCCTTAACATGTAACATCAGAAGAAATATAGACTCACATTTTAAATGACTCTATTAGGCTTCCACAATATTCTATCCTTGGGGGAAGTGTAACCCACGTGTTCTAGTGGACCTGCCCTCCCCTGCAGCCTGTGGCTTTAACATCAAGACCCTCTTCCTCCACCACTTCTTCTGGGAGTTGCAGTTCAAAAGCATCCGAGTAACAAAGGTTAAGATTAGAACCACTGTTCTAGTGGACCTGCCCTCCCCTGCAGCTTGTGGCTTTAACATCAAGACCCTCTCCCTCCTCCACTTCTTCTAACAGCTTTCCTGAAGAACAGATATGAGGTCCTGAAAGCTTGCATGTATCTTTGTGACTTTTGGATTAACCAAAGGTCGTTGTCAACAACCTAAGGATTTTGCAATGTTAAATAAGAATGTTTTTATTTCAATTTCTTATAGCTAAATAGACAAACAAACTCAGAGGCAAGTTAAATAAGACTTTTTTTTTTCAAATAAGGGCTTATAGGAGTGTGGCCTCAAACATTCAAGTCAGTAGCAAACCTTTGTGAGAAAGAGAAAGTAGACTGGAAACACACTCGTGATTGTGTAGGTTTTCCCCCCCTTTCTTAACCGGACGAGTGAATTTAGGGCATCGGGCGCAGTAGTAAGAAGCTTTGCAAAGGACCATACAACCTTTTGTACTTTCGTCGATAACACTGTTGCACTGTGCCCAACTACCAAGCCCGATCACGTTACCCGCAGCTCTAGAAAGAGTAGTCGTTCATACCGCTGCAGTGCCCCAACACGTGAGCAGCTTGCAAAACCTCCCCAAAAGAACTGCAAATCCCAGCAGGCCATGCCACGAAAATGGCGGCCAACGACGGCCGTCGCTCCAGCCGCCCTTGATCAGAAGATGCCGAATCACGGCCCACTTTTCATCGCACTGCCTTCCGGGACGTGTAGTTTCAAAGGCCGCGGGTCGGTCGGCCCGGCCTCGCAATGCCTCTCGGGAGGTGTAGTCCGGGAGGGCTGACAAACCACTGGCGGCGGCGGCGGCGGCCAGAACTCGGGACTCGCTAGAGAGCGGAGGCAGCCGTGGCGTTTTCCCAACAGGTACGCGCCGCCGCTCCCCTTTCTCCGTCCCGTCTCCGGTGCCCGGGGACTGAGTTCGCTTCTCGCCTTGCTCCCTCCTCGGATGGGTCAGGAGAAGAAGGGGAGGCTTGGGCGGACGCCGGGCGAGCCGAGCCAAGTGCCCAGACCCGAGAGGAGACGGGCGGGGGTGGGTGGAGGGGACGAGTCGGGTCAGGTGGACGCCCGCTTGGGACTGCGCGCTCCCTGGAGAAGCCGGGCCGGGCGCCGGGCGAGGCTTCCCGCGGAAAGTTTCGAGAGGGGAGAAGGGGGCTTCTTCTGGTGTCCACTCTCCCCATCCCGCGCCTCCTCTCGCTCTCCTTTCCTCGCCAGGCGAATCGTCCCTCCGAAAGGAGCTTTTGGACCGTCTTGGGTTCAAAACTACGAAGAGTTCTGTGACACCTTAAGGCTCGCAGACGTATTGCAACATAATCTTCTCCCGTCTGGAAGGAAGCTTCGTCGGACACTAAAGTTGATCTGGCATTGGTAGGTGCAGACAGACAAGAGCGGTGGGTGCAGAGACTAAAAAACTGTTCCCACGAGGGTTGACAACCGTGAAAAGCAATCAGACCGGAGAGGTTCTGCTGTCTTGGTCTGAAGAGGGGTTGCTTGAATTTCATTGCTCTTTTACCCTCCTGTTTACTCCCCCCCCCCTTTTACAGTTCTGGGAGTAGCATTTCTAGTGTACTGAACACTTCATCCATTTGATACAATGAGCTTTAAGTTCACAAATGCTGCTGCGCTGGCTTTTTTCCTGCCCCTGTCTTTCCCACCCCCATCACAGACTCCTCTACTGCTGATAGTTTTCTGATAATTCCCCTGCTCTTCCTTCCCTCTCTCTCCTGCTCACTTCCAAAAAATGACCCCCATGGATAGTGCATAACTTCTGTATTTGGATGTTATACAAATATTTGCCAACCCAGGTATGTTTATTTTCATAAATATGGGAGCACAGGAGGCATTGCCCTTTCTCTTTTACTTTCCACTGACATCAGGGATTCTTGCTATTTTATGGTTTGTTACAGTGTTCCCTCCAAAAGGGGTGGGTGGCTGGCTGATTTGATCTGGGGATGGGCAGCAGTGAGTATTTTAAAACCCTAAAAATCTTGAAATGATTTCCAGGTTTTTAATGAGAAACTGTGTTTGAGCAAGCATTTCAGAGTTAGACGCAAACTTTTAACAAATCAGTAGTTTGACATTTCATCTTCGTAGTTTAGTCTAAAATTAGTACAGTAATTGGCATAAATAGTTTTAAATTAAAATTATTTTATTGAACTTTATAGTGCGTAGATTATGATTAACTATGTTAGAGAGAGAGAGTTGTGTTGTTCTCCCCAAAAATTTGTTAGTTTGAGGGAGAACAACAAATTTGTTTACTTTGTTAAGATACAAACAGCCAACATGTGATCATATTCTAAATTGTAACCTTTAATGACTTCCATTCTCAAATACTGTGCTTCTCTTTTCATGAAACTGCAGTTGAGAAGCTTTTTTCATATTTCTGTAACTGTTGTGGCATCTTCTTCAAGTGTTCCATTGATTCCTAATGGGTGCAACTATAAACTCAGATAAGGCCTTCTATAGACAAAGAACAGCTGTAGTTCTTGAGTCCTTTCAGATTCTTTCATGTATCTCTAGAAATACTACAGATGTAGTTGAAATAAAGTTCTAGCCCCTAGAACTTAGATCAAGCCCCTAGAAATGATGACAGTGGCAGGTAATGGTTTAATTCCTGGCTCCCTCACTGAGTGTTTTTAAGAGTCATTTAAAAACTTGGCTCTTCAGGCAGGCTTTCCCTCATGTCAATTCCTGAGTTCTATCTTTCTGTTCTTGTGTTCCCCATCTTGATCATGCTATATTATTGTTCAAATGTTTTTATGATCATGGATGTTGTTTATTTTTGATTGTGATGTTTTTATTGTTATTTAATGATTTTATGATTTTGTAAGCCGCCCCGAGTAGACACTGTCTAGGGGGGCGGGGTATAAATCGAATGAATGAATGAATAAATTGTGTGGCCCTCCTCTAGACCAAGAAGGCTTCCTGCTCTACTAAGTATATATTGTTGGAGAGATGAGTTATCTCTCTAATATAGTTGCTTACACAGAACCTGAGATCTCCATCCCTTTTCTGAACACAAGACTACTGGGAATGAATGAGACAACTTCCGTTTTGTCATGTATCCCCTGTTGAGGAGATCGCATGGTACTGGTGTATGGTTAAGCACTGTTTGATTGTAGCTAATTGACAAGGTGCCGGGGTGCATCTGAGTCATGCAGTCAACTGCATAATGGAGTAGGCAACTGAGATGCACCCCATCACTTCATCAATTAGTTGCAATTAGCTGCAGTCAACGGCACATACCTTATATAAGCAGTATGATTCTGACTACAGTGAGTGAGAGACTAAAATGAATGAATTCTGAACTGATAGTTGATCATGAGATTGATGTCCATCTGGACTTCCCAAAAGCTTGATGTCCATCTGGGCTTCTCTGGAAAAAGTGCCAGATTCCTTCCTTAATGATTGTTTGGTCTTTTTTTCCCTCTGGTCCTTATCTTTGATCAGTCCTGATAAGCTCTTGTTCTCTCTATTCATGGTTCAGGTTCACAGTTCAGTTAACAACAGTCTTAGATTTACTGATGGCTCTTAAATTTGAAGCTACATGGCATAGTTTTGATTTTTTAATATCCACTGAGGTTTCTTGATTGATCTGATGGAGTGGTGCTTTAATGTGTCGTATTTTGAAAGTATGCAAAATGATTCCTTTTCGATTTGAACCAGTTTTTCTTCAGAAACAACAAAGGTTGTTAGGAAGCCTTGAACAATAATAAATTCTATTTTGTGCAAGTGTTCATGGATTTAATTTGCAGTGGCTCCAACTTTAAGCAACCAGCTTACGGAGGAGCTCCACCTAGTCCCCTCCCAGTTGACTTTTAAGAACCAATTAAACTTTAAGACATTGCTTTTCAGGGAGGCTTTCCACACCAACCCCAGTTGACCACTTTTCCCCACTTTTTTCTTTTCCCTCCTCCTCTTCCCTCCCCTCTTTTCCTTCATCTACTCTGGGATTAATCAGTGCCATCTGTTTTTGTTTGTTTTTTTAGGGTAATTACTATTGGTTTTAATATTTCTGATTTTGTTTGTTTGTTTTCTCTTTTATGAGGTATAACCCACACAGAGTAGTGCTGTGATGCTAATGGGAATGGGGTAATAAATAAATAAATTGTGTTCCATGTCATCTTTGCTGCCATCCATAAAACATTATGTCAAATAAAACTTGCTAGTCTGTCAGGTACCACAAGACTTTTCTTTTTGTTGCAGCAAGTTAACATGGCTACCATTTGTGAAGGGGGGCCTTCCATTTACAAGACATGAAGTAACTGGGACTGATTCATATACAGTGGTGCCTTGCAAAACGATTTTAATTCGTTCCGCGAAAATCGTCGTCTTGTGAAAAAAATCATTTGCGAGGTTCCCTATGCATTGGTCTCAAAAAACAAAAGTATTGTGAAGCATTGGTCTCAAAAAAACATCTTGCGAAGCATGGCATGGTCATAGAAAAAAACCTCTTGCAAGACACCATAGTGATCGCAAAAACCAATCGTCTTGCGGGTTTTTCGTCCCGCAAGGCAATAGTCTAGCGAGGCACGACTGTATACTAAATTTCATGGTGAAACTTTATATAACAATTCATAGACAGGCCTCGCCCCATTGGAACGCATTAACCGGTTTTGTGCATTACAATGGGGAAACTGTTTTCACATGACGTCAATTTCGCTGGACAGCGATTTTAACGGAATGGATTATCGTCATCATGCGGAGCACCACTGTATATGCCCATTAAATATACAACAATCATAGCTTTTGATAAGCTTCACCCGTGTGTCCACTCTCATTATTTTTCATCATGCCAGGGAAGCTGAGCGTACTGTGGCTGTTCAAGTGCTACCATACAGATTGATTGTAGCCAATCTTGACCTACGCCTTGTTCTGAATTATGCAATTCTTAATTCTAGTTTAGCATTATCTTTTAACAGCAGAATTCCTCAGAGAGGTTTCTGCACAGTTACGTTTATTGGCTGAAATTCTGTTGCTTAATGTAGTAAGTTGTATTAGAGTAGATCTATTGAATATGTTAAGACATTAGAGTTCAGGAAAAATGGAACAATGATTATTCACTTTTTAAATAAGTTGCAGGGACTACCTGCACTGTTTAACATGAAAAATAAACAAATAATCAATGCTGGAAGTGAACCTATGACCAGTTCTAGTGTCCTCTTTTTCTATTTTCTGACACATTTTTGTGGCATCCCAAGAATCATTGAGGTAGAAATTCAGCCCCTGATGTGCATAGGTTGTGCACCCTGACATAATGTACTTGGTTTGATACTACTCCCATAGATGAATTTATGTTAATTAAAATGTCCAGTTTCATGGACTTCCAGTAGTTTCAGTTCCTCAATATATTTTTATGCATTACTTTTCTCAGTTGCAGCATGGAGCTCCGCAGCCTTTGCACAGCTCTGTCAGAATGGCACATGGTACAGTGGTGCCTCAACTTACGAACTTAATTGGTTCTGGAAGAGGGTTGTAACTCGAAATTGTCATTAAGTCGAAGCACCATTTCCTACTGAAATGCATTGAAATCATTTAGTCCGTTCCAGTCAAAGAAAAATTTCATACACAAGAAAATCACTGCAAGACTCATTGGAAACGCGATTAATCCCTTCCGGTCAAAGTGGGGGGGGGAAGAAAAGTAATCAAGCATGCAAGACCCATCGGAAATGCACAGAAAACAAAGGGAGAACGTCGGAAATGCACAGAAAACAAACGGAGTATGTCGGAAATGACAGAAAACAAAGCAAAAAGCAAGGGAAGCATGCAAGACCCATCAGAAATGGGGGGGAAAAGCCAAAAACCAAACAACCCCCCCAAGACTCATTGGAAATGGAGGGGCGAAAAACAAACCCCCCAAGACCCATCGGAAATGGGAAAAAACACTCCAAAAAGCAATCAAACCCCTCAAGACCTGTAGGAAATGGGGGGAACCAAAAACAAACAACCCCCCCAAGACCCATCACAGCACAGAAACATAACTCCCCAGCCCAAAACCACGCTGCAAAAACACCCAGAACAGTTTGTAAAAAGCATAAAGCAGCACCTTACCTTACCAGGCAGCCTCCTCCGTTCGCACACTCTCTGACTGCTGGGGCAGAAGAGCTACAAAGAAGCAGCCTCTTCGCCACCTATAGTTAGCAATTTGAATTTCCCACCTTTTTTCCCTGCCTTTTTGTGTAACTGGAAGCTCTAGCCGCAAGTCGAAGCAAAATTTTGCAGCCAGAGCTGGTCGTAACTCGAAATGGTTGTAAATAGGGATGTTCGTAAGTCGAGGCATCACTGTATACTTGAGTAAAGCGAGATGGCTCTGAGGGATCTGTCCTAGAAATGCCGAAAGAGTCACTAAGCTAAGCCAAGTTGCTCTTCCCCGAAGGTAGTACAAAGGTCCTTCCACCACCATTAACAAACTTTCTTCATATATTGTCAGCCTAAATGCTTCCAACCAGTTCAGTCCCTGGGATGGCCTCTTTGATGTGCTACTACCTTTTGGGAATTCTGCTGGGAACATCATAGAGTTATGGAATTGCCTAACAAAGGACAGGTGCCTTCCAGGGTTTACCCATGAAATCTACAAAATTAAATTGTCAGGCAAAAGCAAACAAAAAACATAAGACAAAAATGTTCTGGCACCTTAAAGATTAGCTGCTATATTTTAATGTGAGCTTTCATGGACAAGTCCACTTCTTCAGCCATCAGATTGTTACTGTTAAGTATTCTCTGCCTCCGATGAAGGTCTGCTTTTGCAAGAGATTTATTTGGCTTCTCCTAGAAAAGCAGACACATAATAACAATCAACACAAAATTTAAGTCTGAGTCTAATAATCTGTGGTTATGTAGAAGGAAAAGGAACAGCAGCATAATCCACAGGGTGCAGAGAAAGAAGTGTTTAAAGCAAGGGAAATGAGGAGTTAACAGAGAATGAGTTAGCAATTATCAGTACAGCAAAATAAAATCTGACCTAAATGCACTGTATCAATGGGACTTCCCTACTTGTTCGCTTTCAGAGTTCACTGCTTTAATGAGTCTCCTCTGGCTGGATCTCCAATTGGATTTCGCCCTGTATGTGTCGGATGCAAAAATAAAAGACAAAGGACATGCTAAAATGTGAAAACTGAGTTAAAAGTCTGAGGAAATTATTTTTTTACAGTGTCGGATGCAAAAATAAAAGACAAAGGACATGCTAAAATGTGAAAAATGAGTTAAAAGTTTGAGGAAATTATTTTTTTTTTTACATTCATATGTCAATACTTCTTTGAGTTAGGATAAATATAAAAATTAGAGTCTAGGTGGATTGATCGGTGAGATTCTGCTGTGTAATGGGGTATGTGAGCCCATGCTGCCTGAATGTTTCCAGTTCAACAAATATATTTGGGTTATGCAATTTATGGTGTTTAATGGCATTTAATAATTCAGAGAAGATGGAATCCAACCCTTTTGCATTTTGTTTGTCACAGAGTTATTATTTTGGAGAAGAATATCAGTATGGTTGCTTTTCTCTTTTTTGTCCCTTCTCATGTTGCTATTGCTCATATTTGTTTAGCCCAAATATCATTTTTGTTTATTACAAAAAGATATCAAGCTCAAGGCATGGGTAAAATTAAATTGGTACTGATGTTCAGAATTATTTTCTCTCTCTGGTGGGTGGCATAATGATTCTCGTAGTGAATAGAAAGTCATATTAAATTTTAATCTATCAGCTAGTGCTCATTTAAAATGAGCACATTTCTTCTTTCCTCATGTTATGAAAAGAATATTCTGTTATTGCTTTTGATATATGCATTTAATTCAAGCATCTTTGAAAAGACCGTTGTATTAGAAGTTTTATATCTTGGGCGCTCTTTTTTCAATGTTATTAACATATAGTTCACAGAAGAAAAGTTAGGTTAATAAATCTTTAAAATACTGTAAATAGTTTATATTTTAAAACTTCAAGTACTTGCTTTTGATAAAACAAATAAATACAAATAAAAATGAACAGTATCTTCAAGGATGACATAAATAATATGAACTCAGTTACTGTAACAGTTGTAAGCGTTTTCTAAAATTCAGTTCATCCTCACCCTCGTTATTGATGATGTTGTTTTTGTGTGCCACCAAGTCAATTCTGTCTTATGGGGACCCTTAGGTAGCCAGCACTCAGAAGTGGTTTACTTTTTCTTTCTTCTG